TTAAAATAAACGAGAGGCTTAATATGGTCCCATAAGTCTCTACTAAGTCTTCACGCAAAATTTTCTACACAGATGTCTGAGATTCTCAGACTTTTTCTTAGAGCAGCAATATTCTCGCTTCTTAAAACTTGAACCAGTGGTTTCGAATTTGTTCACTCGAACGATGAATTGTGTTGAACGTAAATAGACTGAGATGCATGGAATTGTTCGAATTGAATAAGAATGTTGAGAATAATTATAATCATTAAGTTAACAGTTTCCAATTTTGTTCTATGCATATAATTTTGTGTAATCAGTGAGAATTTAATTGTTATTGAATATTCCATCCATCATATTAGATTTCGCTATTTTAAATTTGATATTCGCCGGATTCGTGATTAACACAAAAATGTTGCAATATTACTATGATTCTGAACGAAACAAATAGGACTTAAAATATGTAGTATCATTCTATAAGAATTTGTTATTTTCTGCGCGAACAAAGGCGATAATTAAATGAGCAAGCGGTGCTTGTTCATCTCTATATCGACGAGTAATGTACAAAGCGTTAGAACATCGGAGAGAGAAACGTTAAATAAGAACAACTCGGTGTCGGTAACAAGTATACGAGAAGTGGTATCAGAGAACGCAAGAGATACGTGGATGTATACAATTAGTCGAATAATTAGGAATAGTTTCTCGCATCCAATGATTTAACTTCGTGATCGTACGGTACCAGGAACGCTTGATTCAAATTCTGTTTGTATTCGAGCGTCAAACCCCTTGGCGACTGACAGTACAGGACGGAAACTTCACACTACGGACACAGGCAAACGACTTAACTTAGAAATCAAGTTTTGTGTGATACGTTTCGCGAAATAGATGTCCACCAGTCAAGTCAAATAATTCTCATAATACCGCAAAGTTCCTTAATTAAATACCCTGTTACGATACTGAGTAGATTAACTTGCAAAATGCAGACACGAACCAAATGCGTTGAACTTAGAATTGAAACGAGAAAGATGTCTGATAACAGACCTCCGGAGTTAAGACTGGATAGCAAGCTATTGGCGTACGAGATTATTTTTAAACCGGGCGTGCCAGTAATTGTTAAAAAAATATACAATTTTATTTTCTATTTATCTTCGATGTTATCGCGTAATTTGTTTTATATTCTTTGCGTGTGCCTACGTAAAATTTTCACATGCGCGGAAAAGGTTTTCTAGGAGCGGTTCTGAAATGATGATTTATGGCTGTATCGTCTTGGTTCCCCTCTGCGTGTACGAGAGTCGCTATATTTGTTTCATCAAGAGTACGCTCGTACACTTTCTTTGCTATTGCAAATAAGACACGATCTGATACGTATCTCCGCGCAAGCTGTGTACAGATATATCTTCGGGAAAGTAATCTAAACAATCTGTGTTACGATATTGCAGTTTATTTAAGTACACTGACTGGGTAAACAGTTAGGTGCATAGGTTAGTATCTTATGAAGACGCCGAGTACCATGTGTAGGGCAAGAGGTTCGTACGAGACGCAGATGTTGGCGTCAAACTTTAAAATCATATTTTATCGTTTTCGAAAATGTTTAGTAGGATATTAAGAAATACAGAAAATACAGTAATTTGCTAATTATGACTACTGCACAATTAAACAATTAAAATCCTTCCTGATAAGGTACTCGGCTGTAAATTAAACTGGGTTGAATTAGGAGAAATATATTTAATATAATTATTTTAAACTAAGATATGAATTTATTCTGATGAGAGTATTCAAGTTAGGCAGAGACGTTGACTTAAATGGCATATTAAACGTTTCTCTGAAAACCGACGCGAAGTCTACGTTACTACCGTGTTATTAATCATTTGTAGCGTAGTGGTTTTGAAGTAATGAGTTTTTGATTTTCATTACTTAAAATAAACGCCGTTTCTAAAAAGTATACGAAAAAGCCGCATGGAACACCTCAAAAGACTGGATTGGGGCAGCAGGTTCCCCATCTCTAGTTCGAACGTAACGCCTTTAGCCTGTTTTCGAACCGACGGGAGTTGGTAATTTATCTATGTCAAGTTATCGGTAATCCACGTCGAGAGATCGATTGCTTCATATACAAAACAGGAAAACTAAAAATATATATATTCCTGAAATATGTAACAAATACAAAATAAAACTTGTATTCACGGTATGGAAGAACCTCTTGACTCGAGCATAAAATCGTGAACAGTATGGAAGTTAAATATTTCTAGACAAGTGATTCATGTGCAGGTTCCTCCTATTTACATTTTTTAGATTAACATTTTTGTCGAGGATGAACCAAGATAAGTTTGAAATCTTTAAAGGGGTATACCATTATAAAGCGTCCAAAAATATATAAAGTGTTCTTTTTGTATATGATGGTTACCGTATGAACAAATTAAAAATTTTTTCAGAGAATAGAAATGCAACTTCCAACTCGATTTTCCAGTTTTTATGTTTGCTGCCATACTGCAAAATATTTTTGCTTTTCAGACCTAGTTCGTGAAGCCTTTCTACTTGACACGACCCATTTCCCCATCGACTGCTGTAACTTTGCTAGTTATTTGAATTTTTATATGTTTAACACAATATCCTGCATACTTGAAACTTCGTCTCCTTCAATCGTATTGTCCTATATAAAGAATTATAGTATAATATAGTGTAAATAGTTTATTTCACAATTGTTTGAAACATAATGTTAACTCGAAGTATTAAAACATTCTTTACAAACTTCTCCAGTAATTACTGAATTCCCTAAAACTGTTGAACATATGAAAAAACATTTAATAAAACTGTTACAAATTAAATTATCCAAATAATTTACCACTTGTAATATTTTAATAAACCGTCTACCAACGCGTATTAAAAGTACACTTTTATACACGTGTAGTTCTGAAGCCACTCATGGTTTCTGCACAACGGAGCCACCGTTCGAAGCGGTAAACCTTCCTCTTTGAAATGGCTTTTGGTTTTTGTCGATCGGACTTGTCGTTTTCGAGATATCGTAATTTATGTAAATGGTAATTTTTCTTAATTCGACTATCTCTGTCTTCGTCTAACGCGTCGCACCGGACCTCTCTTTCTCGTACGTGACTCGTGACTGACTGACCTAGTTACTACGAGCACGTGCCGGTCAACGACCTTGCCAAGCTTGTAGTAAGAGAGTTCATTGATCTCGCGACGTAAACAAAGCTTCGATCGCTCATATCTCCGTAACTAGCCACCGCATCGACTTGAAACTAAAATCGTCATATCTCCGGAACTAATAAAGCTATCGACACGTACAAACGCTCATTTTAAAGGGCATTTCATCCTCTATCTGATGAATGTAAAAACTATTACTATTGATGCTGTCTTCTATGTTTATTTTGACGTGTAGTTGTTAAATAATTTCAAATGCTAATTTTTATTTAACATTTCAAACAGAAAATGTTGCTTACATTTTAAACGAAGAATGTTTAATAAAATAATGTATACTACAAAACTCTACACGAATTTACGGGACGATCCAATGCTTTCATACAACTAGTACTTAAAAAAAAATAATGGATGGAAACGTTACAGAAATAAATTTAACCTTTTTTTACTTTCAACGCGTTGTCCGTGGGGCATGTACCATTTCTGCCCTCGACTTGTCAAAGTCCTGCACATAGCAATCGGGAGCGCGTAATCTGCCATCGTGGGAAAGTAGATTAAAATCGAAAGCGGGCAATTTTTCGTCCTGCCTCTGCCCAGCGCCACGCATAAAAATTTCCGTTTCTGGTACGCGCGAGTGCCATTTTGTCAGGACGTTTTTGCCAGCGATCGTGCCCGGCGCGGTCGTCGTCGACGTTCCAGAACGAGAAGAACTTTTCTGGGTATAGAAATGATCGGCGACGGAAGTCGAGGAGAGAGCCCGGCCGATTCGAGCACCGTAAAGCGTCCGGCGTTTGTGATTAACGCGGAACGTTAAAAAGCACGGGGGAATTTCTACACGCATCAGGCACACAGCTTCGCTTTGTCGGTCGTTTAAACGGGCTAGAGCGGCACACGAGCCACGACGCATAATATTTGATTCATAAACCCGTTTTTGCTGTCTTGTCGCAGCTTCCACTCCACCGTCGCGTTCGAGGCTATTGTTTGCAAAGCACGTTTGCGCTGTCGTCCTCCATGGAATGTGTCCGCCATGACAGCCGGCAGCTGCATTATATTTTCGGCCGTCATTCCGATATTAATGTGGCCGCCTTGTCTGCTCGGGATTCCCTCTCTGCACGCGGCATTGCACGATTGGATTATCGTCATTACGAACGGTTGCTGTTACTACAAAAGACACGTCTCGATATCCTTTTCGTGCCTGGAACGCGGTTCCAACGGACGTTCACATTTACGTTTTAATTTTAATTACCGTTTGGACACTTTCTAAAGTCGTAATTATTTTCTTGCTTTAATAGTTATCGAGGGACTGTTGTTATGTAATAAAATAAACTTATATGGAAAAAGTGTTGAAGTCCCATAGAGTTCCTGGAACAGATTATTTAGCAAATATTCTCAATTGCAAACAGTATTTATTGACAACAAACATGAAGCGTAACACATGTAAATGTTGTTATGTAATAAAATAAACTTATATGGAAAAAGTGTTGAAGTCCCATAGAGTTCCTGGGACAGATTATTTAGCAAATATTCTCAATTGCAAACAGTATTTATTGACAACAAACATGAAGCGTAACACATGTAAATGTTGTTATGTAATAAAATAAACTTATATGGAAAAAGTGTTGAAGTCCCATAGAGTTCCTGGGACAGATTATTTAGCAAATATTCTCAATTGCAAACAGTATTTATTGACAACAAACATGAAGCGTAACACATGTAAATACAAATAAAATACAACGGTCCGCAATCCAATAATTTAGTAGGATTGTACAATTATTTGAACGTTATATCAAATATACAATTTATATTAATCAGTATGTTTACCATTAAGTTTATGTGCATGTAGTAATTTTATTATTAATTTTGTTTTTCAGAAGTGCGTGGATGGAGGAACTCTTGCAGTGGTGAGTGCATTCAACAGACTTCCTTGTTACTTGGGAAATTATATACGGCTATTTTCTTCATAAAATTTTTCAAATAACGAACCTATTTTTAAATGAAAATTCTTGTGGGTAAGTTCGACGAAGGTTCAAGATCACTCAGGAAATTAGGTACTCAAGATTATTTATAGCAGATTGGAGAAATGTGATTGAAAACGTATTTAGATTCGCCTAGATATTTTTAATGGCGTTTGAAAGGAAATAGAAGGCGGTGTAAGTGTCATAAATAACGTACTGGGTCTCCGATGCAACAGCTTTATCGACTTAACCGTTTTTGTGTTAAAGCAAAGAGCTTATTTAGCTCTGTTTTCTGAAAGTCGGAGATATTTTTGCACTTTTGTTTTGGCAATCTCTCGTTGTTTGTGTTTCCGCGAAATAATCTGTTAATGCGAATCATAGATTTTTCGGTTTGGCGTTGGACGAATAACGAGAATTTTAGTATTTCGTGAAATATTCTGCGGCCGATGATAAAATGTAGACAACGCGAATCAGTTTGAATTTTATCAAGGTAACTGTAAATTAAAACATTCGTTACCTTTTTTTTTTTACTTTGAATTATATTGAAAATCAATATTTTGAATGGCTTCGATGTTTTCATTGTTGGATTTGGTATATCCAGGCTCGTGTTTCGTAACAACTATTTCAACATTGGAACTATTAATTGCTGTACGTAAATTTTTCGAGCATAACAATAGTCGTGAATTTCTTTCTTTCTGACGGGAGCTGATTTTATCTCATTGTACACACCTGTACAATTCATGCTGCAACCTAGACATTTATCGACAGTTATTTCGAATAAAATTTATATACGTGGGAATTTTTTGGATCTCTAAAGTTTTTTTTTAACTGCAAATCTCGTATTTAGCGAAATTATCGTTTGAAATTGGGGTTTGCAAACAGATTTGGTCGAATAGTCGGGGAACGAATTATAGTAGTAAATTTTTCTGTATTTTGTCAGATTAGCGAGTCGTTACTTGAGTTTGACGTTTGAGGTAACTCGAGTACTGCGTTTTATGGAACACTATTCTTTTCACTGCGCATTTTATGATATCCGAAGACAGTATTTGCCTCGGATATGTTAGTTTTATTGCTCTATTCGAATGGGTATAATAAAAGAAATTTCGTGGTATAATGATTGCCGTGTCGTTAAGTGCAGGAAACGTTTGTTCTGGCGTTTAAACCGTCGAAACATGAAAACGTTCGAGATTTGTTCGTCCGATCCGACTGGCAGTATCACAGAACACTTCAAGTTGCTTTTCATACATCCTTTTGATTCTCGATCTATACAGGGTGTCGCAGCATCAGTGGCACAGCCAAGAAGAGGATTATTTTTCATGAAAAAACAAACCAAAATTGAAGAATAAAATTTGTTCATTTGAGGCTTTGTTGTTGAAAAAATTGATCTTGAATATTCACTTATTGTCTTTTCTGCACTTCTATACACTCGTGTTGACAAAACCTCCTTACCATGTATCACAATTCTATTTGGTGTCTTATTGTGAGTAAGTTATTATCTTTAGTTTTGACTAATCATGGTCTCCAGATTTGATACTCCTTGATTCTTTATCTATGGGGTCATGTTAAAACAAAAGTGTACAGGAAGAATATTTTAAGCCTTTCTCAATTAAAAGTGAGAATCATCTGGTATTTGAAGAATTAAAGACAGAGAATACATTAGAATGTATGTTCATACAAATATAATTCAGAAAGTACAGTTATATATACAGCACAATGAGCAATTTTTAACAATTTTTGTATTAAGTTAGTTCAGTGAGTTAATTACATGCCTTATCTTCGTTTAAATCCTGTAAATATTCAGTTGATTTTCCCGGCAACGAAACCTCCAACGAAAAAATTTTATTTTTTATTTTCGATTTGTTTTTTCACGTAAAATCGCCTCCTTGCCGCTTGTACCACCGATGCTGGGACACCCTGTATAAAAACGTTGCCAATTTCCAACACAAATCGACATTTTCTAAAATAAGCTCCTTCGATTATGACGCTCGACTTTGTGGAACGGTTTATTTCCAGAATATTCGTTTGCCCGATATCGATGGGACTTGGAATTACAACGTAATCGAATCAGCAGCGAATTCCCGATGAAAATTCTATAATATTGAACGTCGATTATCCGTCGAATCATTCGAAGCTATTAAGCTTGCTACGAAAACCGATTGATGCGGTTCGGATTTTTCATGAAGAATTCAGGCAGGATGAACGCGTCGAGGTACAATTAGCACGGTGAACGCGTGGACCTTTTGATTCGGCGCGCGTTTCGCGGTACAATTAATAAATCCTTAGCTTCGTTGCGTTGCACGCGTTTCGACGAGCCCCGGTTCGAAACAAGAGCGGACGAGCTTATCGCGACGATTGTGTCGCGTAATGGCCGTCGACGTTACCCGTGAAAAAAAAAAAAAAAGAATATATGGAAATATCGCGAGAATCTCGTTTCGTCGCGGCGTTGCTCGCAAATTCTGCGCCTCGCGCGCCCCAACGGGGAACCGTTCTCCTAATAAACGACTGGCGGAATCCTGCTAGAAGCTTTATAATCGTACCTCGCGCGGAATGTGACAGGGACCCCACGAGCAGGTCCAGGTATGTGTGTACCGAGGCAAGTAACTAACTGAATGCCTCTGGCTACATACAAAGCAAAATAACGTTAGACGGAGGTAAATGGCTGTTTATTAGGTTCCTGTTAAACTCCAGGACGCGTAGTCCGAAATGAGATGGCACTGCTCACGTACCTACAAAGTCACATACGAAACGATTGTAATCCCTCAGCTTCGTGCTTTAACGTTTACACGCTTCCGAGCGTTGCGCTTTATCAGCAACAACGACGTATTTGAGGGCTTTTGCGAGAGCGACTGTTCCCTACGTGACGAAATATTTTCTATAGGGGAGCCTTGTTAAACACTGGAACGCACATTCGCGACCTTTTTCAAAACATTTTTAGCGATTATCGTCCGACAGACGACACGATGGGAACAGAAATTTTTCACTTATTTCTGTTCCCGGTATGTGTCGTTTCTCTCTTCATATTTTATTTTGTATATTACAGAAAAGTCGTACGTTTTTCTTCTTCTTTAACACTAGATTTATGGAATGTCTGCGGTTCCATATTTCAAATTGCAGAACACGTAAATATTATTTTTTAACAACTTATATTGAATTTGATTGTTACAATGGCACGAATACATATTCTAATTAAAAGAAAAATCATATTTTAAGATAATCGTCAACATACCCGATCGATCAATGCCCGTAAATCTAGTGTTAAGTTCAACTTCTTCCCGAGATACGATCGCATAGATGTTCGACAATCTTTCACTGGAAAAATCGGTAGTTTCCAAAGGTGAATTGTTTATTAACGGAGGCTGTTGCTTTCCCATATCGCGGGCAATCTTTTATCGGTTACGGGCCGGGCGTAGATTTATAAATTATGTGGGGAATGAAAATTCGGGAAATGAGAATTGAATCGGGATTGATCGCGCAACATCTGCGATAAAAAATGAAAATGCTCGCGTATTGGGATTTGCATACGTACCTTATCAGTTTCTGCTATATCGCAATTACAAAACCCCGTGATCGCCCGATGGAATTTACATTTCGTGCGTCGCGTCGGTTTAATAATCGTTTTTCATCGTCGATTAAAAATGCCCGCGTAATCGACGAGTTAATTTCACCCGGTTCGCTGTCGTTGTTGAAAACACGAGGATGGAAAATCGCTGCGTCTTTTTTTCAGACGTTCACATCCACAATTCGTCGAAACGCGTCGGTAGGTTTCTGCTCCGACGATTGTTTTAATATGCAGGGTTCGGGGATATCGGAGCAGCGGAATTTTTTATTTCTATTTTTTTTTTTATCAGCCGGTTTAAACGTTCGGCTGCGCCGTGACAGCGGTGACGACGTTTTATCTAATCAACAGGTACGAAATTCACTTTGTCGCGGAATATTTAATACACTGGAAGCTTTTGGTCCGCGAACGAGTACGTCTCCGCGCACTATGGGCGACAAAGATACACGGAATAGCCTGAACAACTTTCATTTTGAAATATTCAGCGTTGTTTCTTCTATACGAAGTACGACAATAAAGTTTCCGGAGTAATTTTGCTTTCGATTTTAGTAAAGATATTCTAAAAAATTGCACCCGCCCGTTATGTAGCCACTGTATGGCCGAGCTCGAAAATAAAGTCGCTATGGAAGTGTCATTCTGTGGGGAATATACTTGAAATAAGTTTTAGAGCTCTGTTTTTCACTGATATTTGGACACGAAGTTGGCGCGAAAAATTATTTATATTTCGAACGTCGAAGAGATCGAACATGCAAGAGTTATTTTTATCGTAAAACATATAGAATCCCTCAAATTTATTTTAAAAAAAAGCAAGGAAAGAGATGCATGAAATAAAATTTTATTACTTTATTACTAATAAAAGCTTCGATGTACGATTATAATTTTCTTTGTTCAGATAAATGAAGGAGTAATAAAGGTCTCTGACCTAATTGTTACGTATAATCAATACTGTTGAAGATAGGTACCATAGGCGTTAAAGGTCCAAGCTAAGTTAAGAAGGGTCGATGGCGTATTTTGCAGGCTGATTTGCGTAAATAAATTTTTCTCGGACTCGGGCGAAAAATGGAATGCAATTTATAGCAAAGGAATCGCGATAAAATTTTTGCTGAGGAACGACGAATATTTTACGACTGTATGTTCAAATACTAAAACGTTCGAATAGTGCAATGTTTCAGTTGGGAAATATTCAGGTAACGGAAATGCGGATGAGAAGGGTTCTATTTCAACCGTACTCTATTTAGCTACGTCACTCAATTTGGACTTCTGGAATAGAAAATAGCACCATACGGGAATAGTGCAAATATAAACGGAGTTTTCTATTACGTATTTAGTGTGCGAATATCTTGATTAGCTAATATAGGGTTATTTTTCTACATAGTATCTGCTAATTATA